CTGGTACATTGAAAGTGGAGGCGCCTGAAGGGATATATCTCAGACGTGGGACAGCAAAAATTGAGATGGCGTAAAATAGAAATACCCCTGTTAATGCATATAAGCGTCCTTATATTTCAATAGTCTACGTAATTATCTTGCCACTGATTTCATTGGTAGGATTTTCCAATAATAAAACATTGGATGTTTAGATAATGTAGTTAAGTGTTATGTCCAGGGTGAGGTTTCCATAATGTTAGGTTTATCTTAAAAGAAATCCAGGTACAGGACAAAATCTCACTGACCAAAGGCAAGCACCCGAGCATAGTCGAGTCTGCGTATCCTGTATGCTGCAGAAGTTCAAGATCGAGAGTGGTTAGCAGCACGTCTTGCTGGCGGGCGTCCTAAATAGGATACGATACATTTCATGCAAAATTTCCAATATATGTCTTGCAACATTTCAATAAGCGAAACCTTCTATAATTTCATTCTTAATTATTTTTGGAGCAATATTCACCTTTCCACTTAACCCAAACACCTAGACCGTAAATTGGTAATAGTCTAAGTAGAAAGATAGGATGGTTTTAAAAGTAATCTTAAATGTTGCATTTTTTGGAATAGCAAATAGGGTGACGAAACTCTTAAGTCTCCCTAAAATAGGAGAAAGATTCAGAATAATAAGGGCAATTCCAAAGAAAGTTATTTTCGAAATTGGTGTATTTACAGATTTTTTTAGGTATGCATTTCCAGAGGTGCCACTTATATAAACATAATATTGGCATACATCTTAAGCCTTGTTAATAGTGAAATAATGACCCTCCACCGATGTATATAAAATATCAGTTTAACGTAATTAAATGAAAAAATAAATATCAGAAATGATTTTGCTTGTCCCATATTTTGCTATTTTTATTACAAATACAGTTCTAGAAACATTTCGTTGGGTCTAGTATGAGCTAATAGTAATTTTGTTTGTTAGTCTTAACGATCGTGTATATGTTCTTCATTAAAGGCTCAAATTTGACCGAAAAACATTATCTTTTACTTTAATTCATGAAAATCGTATAGAAAAAAGTCTGCAATAATAACTTCAAACCAATTGGTCATCATATAGCAAAATCTGAGCAAAATCATAGAGCGAAATATGAGACAAATGGAATTATTACTTCTGACGATTTTTTCATTAAAATACCTTGAATATTTGACATAATTCGCTATATTCGCATTATTTCACTAGCAGCACGGCTTGCGATGCATGTCAATGCAATTTTTCATATGTGGCACCTCTGGAAATGATTACCTGGAATTATTATTAAGATTGACTATTCATCCTTAATTTAAAGTAGGTGAATTGTAAATTAAGTGCAATACTAATAATAATAATTACTGCAACTGAGCGTACGCTCGGTGTAAGTTAATCTAAAAATAAATAATTAAAAATTAGAACAATCAATACATACAAATGCTAAAAAAGATTTAAAAAAGTAAATGCAAATAAACAAAAAAATATATACGCTCAGTAGCGCAATGGCTACTTATGACATTATGCAATTACTCCTTTGCCGAAAGAATCGCCAACTTTCCGGATGGATTGCACTCGCCTCCAATGAGCGGCAGCCTTTGAAGCGATTACCGAGCGCGCAGGCTGCTCGCGCGAACGTCCGCGCCTCCAGGGCTGCCAACTTAGGCGCCGGCACGCCCACGCGCCGCCCCGAGGAGCGGCTAATCCCGTCAGGGTTTTAACAACTTGGCGCGCGGCGCGGCGCGGCGCGGCGCGCTTAATTGAGTGCGGAGCCTCGGCCGCCGCCGCCGCCTCCCCTGCGCAATTCCAACTCCATCGCCTTTCCATTCCACTGTCGCTCATCACCGTAGCTCGCCCCGACCCATCAACCCTCTGCCCATTGCGCACCTTTCTAGTCTCTGTCATCGACCCCCGTCGCTCTCTCCTCCGAAATCACGATTACGTACTACCACGCTTTCTTTCTAGGAGCCTCCTCCTATTGCTTTGGTAATTGTCCTCTCCTCCACCGTCACCCCTTCCTCCCGCAATATGAGGCCTTTCTCTCTATGTGAAGGCGTCTTCGTCAATATTATTTTCCTGTGCTGTGCTTTCTTTCCTGTCTCCGCGAGCCCCGCCGTAGCCGTCTCCGGTCCCTGACCTCCCTCCGGGGCCGTTCGTTGCGCCGCGAGCCAGCTGCTTCCCCCTCCACTACCTCCATTGCCTCATCCTGGGGGCGGCTCCGCCTTCTCAGACCCAACCACTTAGGCTATCAATGCTTGCTGCCTCCGGGATACCTGAAGCATTTCTATGACACTTCTGGCGAAATCATCATCTCCTCATCTGTCGCTGTGTACTCTTTGAAAAACCTTCCTTTGTCCCACGCTCTCATTCGCAGCTAAACCGCTTTCAACGCCGTCACCTTCGCCGCCTGCTCCCGCCGTGAATCTTCTCTCTTGTTCCTTCCTCCCTGCTATCATCGTCCACGTCGATTCTACCGTGGCTTCCACCCTCTCCGTTATTTGTCACTCCCTCCTTGTTCTGTTCGCGGTCTCACCTTCTCCGTCGCAAAATCTCGTTTCCCGTCAAAGTATTCCTTCTCGTCATCGGCTTCCGTTCCGTGGCCTTCCACAGTCGCTGGCAACATTAGCTCACTTGGACACTTCACCCGCCCTCCGACCTAGCAGTACAGACACAATCACTTTTCTTTCAATTTTTTTTATTTTTACGCTAGTTTTATTTTTTATTAATTATTATCTTCCTACGATGTTTTTCTGTCATTATTTTCAAATTCTTAGTTCTCATTTCTTTCTCGTTTTATCGAATATTCGTCCTCTCTTGCCGGAAAATCTCAAACAAGCAGCAAACATTCACGAGGTGAACTGAAGCGTAGTCGTGAAACAGAATAATGGAAACGTTTCTCGTGCGCATGTAAGCACAGAGTGCATAAATGCAGCTTAGTAAAATAAGCATGTTATTTTTCATTCTCAAATATTATTTGTTTTCAGGTCAGTAGTGTGTTTGTTTTCATTGTAAATAATACTAGCAACAACAATAAACACAACATTTCCCACTAGTGCTTTCCTTCCCAATCCATCCTTTGCTGTGCATTTTCTTCCCCTATCGACTTCGTCACCTCCGTCGCCCCAGCTCTCCTCGTTTCGCCTCCGTTTCCTTCATCCCTTCCCCTGCTCCTCTCGTTCCTCCATTTCGGAATGCAGCTGAAGCCGCGTAAAGTAATTGGTATTGCCACGTCCCGTCGCAACGAACTTCGACCGAAGAATTCTTACTCCTGGTATTACGCCGTCGCTCCACTTGGACGTTTAAACTCCGGCGTCGAGATACAAACTTTTCTGAGAGCCATTGCATAATCACTTGGAATTAAATTTGGACGTTGAATTACTTGTCATTCAAGATCATCATAGATAAGATAACACTCTAATAAACGCTCAAGAAACTCGACGACTTTTCAAGAATCATGGAATTTTCCCTAATCACATTGTTTATGCTTTCGTACAAAATTTGATTTTGTTCGAAAATAGTTTTAACTTCACCAAATAAATATACGTCTTTCAAACCTCTTTCTCGCATGTAAAATAACTATAGCTCATCCGCCAAATAAATTATTTATGTAATTGTACATTTTTCAAAGCATATTTGCATTCAATTAATGAAAACTATTTTGCAGAAATATGTATTATTACAAGTTCAAAAATGAAGCGTTTCAATAAATGAATTACATGACATAAATTTAAATGAAAAACGCACGTCCGTTGCGCTTTGTAACAGTTCCAACTTCCAAGTTGTATTTTCTATTTTTCCACACTACAATTTGACATTCGCAGTAGCTCAAGTAATTAGCATTCTACATTCGATTAGACCGCAAATATTATCGAAAGTTTTCCAAAGAAAACTGTAATTTACTGGGTTCTTTCCATAAATTGTCTAAGCTTAAATTCAAATTAAATCCCCGTCAATAGGTGCCCCTTTGAGAAAATTTCGTGAAAGAAAGATTGGTATATGTTTAATAAAATCAAATATTTCGGTTTATTGCTTTCTCGTTGTCAATAACAATGTGAGAATTTTGCTGTGCACTGCAGTGTTATAATTCCTTCGAGAGTATAGCATTTTATTATGTATTCATACTTTCATTCGTGAGTTTTCGACGACCCAGATAATATATTTTGATTACACTACTCATATTGCGGTAGAAACGCAGTTTACGATACGGTTCTCGTTCACGTGCTGTCGTTAGGCGTCGCTATGCGAATGCACATTGACTACAAGGCTCGGGCCTTTGTCCCTCGTGTTAAAACGTCCTTGAGTGTCTCCAGTGCACAATTACAAAAGCATTGTAAGAGAATACGCATCTTAAAAATCGTTGGTAACATTTAACTTCCCACACAAAGACATAATACGCAAAAGAAAACTTCTCGTTTCCTTAAATATCCGTTCCTGGTGAAAAAGTGAACCGGGAGCCGTCCTGTATACAGAATTTCAGCTCATCTTGCTACATAAAATGCTGTTCCAAGTCATATCAAATGTAGACATTCTGAAAATCTCGAAAATATTGTTTAAATATTCTAACAAATTCAGCAAAAGAAAATCTGAAATATGAACTGCGATTCTACATACTCCTTCCCTACATACTACACTACTCCTCCTTGCTTTTACCAAGAGAATAAAAATTTGTATGAGGGGATACAAAAAACAAAGTGAATATGTGGCGACGTCAAAGATTATTGTAGAGTCGGCACACAAGAGATGATCTCATGATATAAGAAGTAAATATACTCACTCAAGACAATTAAGTGCGCAACGCGGTTGATATCACATGCATTCTTAGCAGTCCGTTCTCTTCGACGCATAATTGGAAATGAAAATATCAAAAAACGTGCGCTGCCCTCGGAATAACACGAGTAAACAAGCTGCTCCCCACCGAAGGGTAAGTCGAGCTTGGGCGCCCATTCGGCCGAGGGTAAACCATTTCCACCGGCAATCAACTTGAGAAGTTTCTCGTTTTTTACTCTCCCAACCGAGGGAGCGGGCGAGCGAGCGCCCAGCGCCCAGGGGGAAGGGCGGAGTTGCGTGCGGCCGCGCCCTGTGTGCTCTCAGTCCCAGCCCCGCACCCCGCCTCGCCCCGCCGCGCCTTCCCCTGTTCCCGCACGCCCCTTGCGGCCGCGAGCGCCCTCACGCAGCGGGGCCGATCGCCGGCTGTCATTTCATTTTCATTTCGACCTAATGGGCCCCGTAATGAGCCCGGTGCTCGCGGCCGGGCCCCGCCCCCGCCACGGCTCCGGCACCCTCGCGGCGCTTGGGCGCGGCGCGGCGCGGCGGTCGCAGCTAGGGGTGGAGCGCCGTTAGCTTCAGCTGACGAGGGAATAGTAAAGTGCAAATGGCGGATTGACAGGGACACTATGGTCTCAGAAGATAGGAAACTTGGAAAAGAAGAAACGGAAAAGATGGAGAAAATTTTAGTGAAATAAATCGAATTATCCGGAAAACATACACACTAAATGAGTAAAACTAATAAAAATATGAAAAAGGTAAGATCAAATTCTCTTGAAATTTTTTCAGGTAACGAATGAAGACAACGGAAACCCGATGTGCTCAGGAGTATTAGACTGTTGAGCAGATGCATCATGTAGACACGTCGAAGGAAGATAAGAAGGTAAGGCCCAGATGTAAAATGAAGCGGTTCCAGGACTGTAGAGGTTGGCGAGAAGAACGGCTTGGTCAGTGAGTGATGCCGACGCAGAGGGGCTCGCAGAGGGGAGAGGGGCGGAGGGCGGCGCGAGCGAGGGCGACGGCCTGCCCAACCGTGACGAGGCCGCGTGCTGCGCACTCGCTGCGCGCCGCGGCGCCCATTAAGATTTCATATTTTCTAAACGTGACTCATGTTGTGAAATCGCCCTGCGGGAAGTTGCTTGGAGCCCCGATTTCGGGGAGGAAGTTTTGACGTACAAAATAACCTAATCGTAGGGAAAACACTGAACAGAACAAAATTACGTGGGATGGAAGAGTCGAGGAAATTTTCACGTGCACCATACAATTTTCTAAAACTATCTAATAATTTTGATATACGAAGTCAGTCAATCACAATAAAAATTTATTGAGTCGTCAAAACGTCCGTGAAGTTTAATTAAACAATATTTTTGATGGTAACCATTTAAACAAATATTATAAATGAACTTTGTTTCAACATTATTTCTGAATTTAAACCTATAAATAAATGATATTTTCCCTGTCTTATTACCTATAATTTCCTGATTCCCTTAGATTTACCCTTCATGTTTCAATCCTCAGACAGATTTACTGAATATAACTTTTTTCTAAAATCATTTATCACAACGTAGTGGTTTTAATGATTGGAGCGAGGTGTGTAACTGTAATTACCACATGAATTAAACGATTACTCTACGTGGAAGACCAACTAAATAAATTGTGGTACATTATCATTAATGATAGATTTAATATAATTTACGTTAATAAAAATGAATTACTGTGAGAGTTTCAAATAACGTTCCAATGAATATTACGAGATATATTTATACACACGAGTCTCCCAAATTGACTCTAAAGCTAATAAACCATACTCAGTTCGAATATCAATGTTTGTTCTTGCAGTTGATGCTTCTGCTGATGATGCTGATTATTATTTTGTTACATTTGTCGTGGTTTTAGCCCCATTAGTTTTAGTTCCGGAATAAAAATATCTTACAATTATCAAGATCCTTATGAATTTAACACTTAAATTTAAATATAATATATTTCTCATATGGTAGCAGCATAGCTGATAATAGATATGTCTGTATCTTCAGTATGTGATAATTTTATATTGAAGGTAATTATGTAAATGAAATAATATTTGGAATTAAAGGACTTCAAAGAATCACTTTGCATGAGATGTTAGGCTACAACACTTCAGCGTGCATTTTCGTGGCAGTTTATAGCCAAAGAGCTCACTAGTGCGAGTGCCAGTCTAAGACCGGCACATTCAGCACGAAGAGTTGTCTTCGAAACACGAAAACGGCAAAAATCGCAAAGAGCGCAAAAATCCTGAAAAGCTCGCCCTACTTTTGAAATCGCGGTGGCCGTGAAAGAGATCAGAGGCCCGTGCGAGTCTTTCAGCGGAAGCTGGCGGGCGGCTGCGGCGAGGCTGGGACGGGACGGGACGGGACGGGACGGGACGGGACGGGACGCGACGGGACGCGACGGGACGCGACGGGACGGGGGAAAAAAAACGGGGGACGGGACGGGACGGGACGGGACGGGACGGGACGGGACGGACGGGTCGGGACGGACGGGACGGACGGGACGGGACGGGACGGGACGGGACGGGACGGGACGGGACGGGAACGGGACGGGACGGGACGCGGACGGGACGGGACGGACGGACGGGACGGGACGGGACGGGACGCGGACGGGACGGGACGGGGAACGGGACGGGACGGGAACCGGGACGGACGGGACGGACCGGGACGGGACGGACGGGACGGACGGGACGGGACGGACGCGGACGGGGACGGGACGGGACGGGACGCGGACGGGACGGGACGCGGACGGGACGGGACGGGACGGGACGGGACGGGACGGGACGGGACGGGACGGGACGGGACGGGACGCGGGCCACTGCGATGAGGAGCCGAGGCAGTGCATCGCCGATCGGCGGCACCTCCCACGCGCCGGCTCCCTACACCACCGGGATCGCTCTGCCCCCAACGCCCCCCGAACCCTCTTCGTATCGGATTTCGTCATTATCCAACACGATCAGTACACGTACCTCGCATGCTTTCGGACAAGCTCTCAACACCCTCCCGAAGCGCTCCCGACTCCCTCTATACCGTATTTCTGAAATAGCGATTTTGAGTTTCTCTACACTCAAAATGCATAAATATGTATTGTAAATAATATTGTCTATTTTTCCTTTTTTCAATTTTTCCCAGTCCGTGTAGTTCATTGCCTGCCCAGCTGCCACCCGTGCGGACCTCTCCCGTAGCTTCTCGCTGTTCAATTACCTTCAGTGATATCACTCGACGTGCTGTGTCAGCCAGAAAATTTGCGACTTGCGTAGGGGGAGTGGATTCATCAGGTATCATTGCACTTCAACTAATGTTTTAGTCTGTTTCACGAATTCACGTGAATCGAATCAATACTCACTCACTCACAGAAGTTTTACTTCAAAGATTACTATAAGATAGATTACTCAAATTACTAAGACAACATTACTCAAAACTGCTACCAGATTATGTAAAAAGATCATTCTGCCCCGAGTTCACTGCTCTCTGGAATAACATGTATCAAGGAAAATATGAATACAGTTTAATGCAGAAAATTATTGATACTAAGTTTCAATTTTTTAACTTAAAATATTAAAAAAGTACTTTCAAGAATAGCCATTAAAAACACAATTATTGAAGTTGTAGGAAATAAAGTTTTGCGTGTTTTGGCATACCAAGGACGAATTTAATGCAGACGTACATAGAAGCTGAAATAGAAGCTGAATTAGCAGCAGAATTCGCCAATTTCGAAGGGATTGAACATACGCTTGCAGTGATTAAAGAATTTTTCCTGAATAATTTCGGCAGTAACGTTCCGTATAGTTTGATAGAATAATCCTTGTACACTTCACCATCTGATCTTCGAGTACTAATTGCCCAAAATTTCAATATGTTTCTAATTTCTTCATTTGTAGTTTGTTATTCATAGTTACTCTTACTGTCAATTTGTATTTTCTTTCTTCACAATTTTCTTTATTTTGCTTGCACACACTTTTTTGGTTCCCTTTGTTGTTTTTCGACACAATCTTTAATAATAGATTCAATTTCAGAGATTGAAAATATACCAAAAAGATTCATTTTAATTTTAATTTGAAGCTCAAAAGCTATTATTGACGTAAAACAATTCCTATCGATAACGACACAAAAGTAAACAAAGACATTACAGCGGAGTGCAAAATCGATAATCCCATGGCGATATAATCTGAGATTGGTTGAGTTAAAATATATCCTTTCATAGTATTGGTTACTTAGGTAGGACACGGACAGACATGAGTGAAATAGATAAGAATCTTTTGAGACGAAGCCAGCCGCTCAGTGAACTACAATAGTGATCCACAAGTTTTATTTATCAGTGCTGTTCACACTTTTCATACGGAATAAGCGACGCACCCGCAATGACGTGCGTGCGTGGACTTCAAGCAGTGCAAAATATATTCTACGAGGCGAGTGAAACGTACAAGCCTAGCAATTAGTTCGTCTCAAGCATGGAAATAACAGACGCTGATTGTCCTTCGTTTGCAGAGGCAGGGATCGCTTATAAAAGTATAGGTCAACAAAATCGATGATTACACCACATGGCAATCATTCTATCACCAAAATGACCGTATTACTGCACTATCGAGATTCCACCAAATCAACTACTTCAGTAGTATTAAGAAATGTAGCAGCCTCATACACAGAATATGAAATCTTGCATGAACTCTCCAATACAAAGCAATCCTGTAATAGTCGTAAGAACAACAGGATCGAACCGAAACACGTAGCCTCTTTTTCGGTCACTTTTTAACTATTTTGGTACCTTTGGGTAACTGTAGGAGGAACACGACACGTAAGAACAACACAAACACACAAACGTCAATGCCTGTTGCGGGATTCGCTCGCGCCACCCTTCGAGCCGCGGCAACTCCCTGCAGCCTCAGCGACCCCGGCTCTCCAGGCCGGCAACGAGGCCTTCATGCGCTGTCACTCTCTCAAAAACGAATCCCGGACTGGAAATATTCAACCCGAATAATCTCTACAACGCAATTATATTCGTAGAAGAACGACGTCATAGACTAGAACCAGTACAGTGTCCACACTAGGACCCACTTTCCACAGCAGACTCCAAGCCATCTGGTGGAATGTGTGCAATGGGAAAAGGCTCATCGGGTGTCCAGTCGCGAATGGGAATTATATCAGAGAAGGGAAACGATAAAAACTCCCTACTCACCACCTCATCCAACAATTCATTCCATGAAATCCTGCACCCCCGCTGCAACAACCTCCGCTCAACTCCTCTCTCCCCACATCAAAAATCGCACGAAGCACTTTAATCACCCATGCCAAAACTACCCCGAGCAAATTAACGTCCTTTACTGCGAAGTGACATAGTCAGTCTATTGAAAGGCGCAGACGCGCCACAGAGACAGCTGCGTCTGCGGCGTGACGTTGGGCGAAAGCCGAGAACAAACAGATTCAAACATCTTCCGCCCCAAGGCGTGCCGATTTGGATAGAGTCGAGGTCGTTTGTGCAAGAAAGTGCCCGAGGGCGCAGCGACGGGCTGTCGGGGCCAAGTGTAAACGCGTGCTCGACGTTTGCAGAGTGGGAATTTGTTTACGACAGAAACGCACGGGACCAGTGCGCACACGTTCGAAGGGTCGCCCCGGCCGCAATTTCCTAATACCCGAAAGAATGCACAGTTATGAAGCAGCCAAAGAAATTCGAAAGATTGGATTGGATAAATGAAAAGGGTGACGTTGCACTACGATGTACAGGAGAAAGAGAGCGGAAAGACCGACAGACAGCCGAAAATGTTTTTCAAACGATTTCCAGTACTTCGTTCCCATGTGTCCCAACCGTCTTTGACAGTGCCCCAACGGAGGGTAAGGCAAAATGGCTCAAGTTATTCTGGAATCAGACAAAGATGAAGACGAAGAAGAAAACCCCAATTGGAGAGATACATTCTGCATCAAAATAATTTTACTTTCTCAATAAACATCCAATTTTGTCTTTTGTAATTGCTTTCTTCTCTAGTTTTTCTATCAATGAAGATTTTCGCGGTAGAGACCCTTCAATATATGAAAGAACGATCCTGTTTGCAAAAGCGGAATTCAAAAATTTGAGAAGACCGTTGTTGTGAATGATGTTTAGGAAAAAGGATTCATTCAAGATTATAACATTCTCACAAACGAAAAAACGGACAATTTGTTTTACAAATGGTTGCCAAAGATCGTAAAAAAATCCAATTGCTACTAAACCTTATCTTCGAAAAAAATAATAACTGATGTTCATGTCAGTTGTTGAGTTGAATCAGTTGTTGAGTTAATAGATTTAGAATGCTTTTAAACAGTTGCTGGGCATGCCTGAGTAAGTCACAAAAATTGGAGGAAAAAGAAAATGGTCTCGGCGGAATTAATTCACCGCTTTTCCATGGAATTATTTGTTGCGTGTGAAATGTTTAAACGCCAAGAAGTTGTCCGAATGGCTATAATGTCGCACGGACTATTTTCTCCTCGAGTGAAACCAGATTGAGAGTGAGAGGGGGAGGGGGAGCAGAAAAATTACCCTATATGTAAAGGCCACTCTAATCCCCATCTCCTACGAGCGCCAGAATCCCTCCTGACTGGTCTTTCCACCTATGTGGCAGCAGAGTGCATGTACGTGTGTGTGTGTGTGTGCCTGTATGTATGGGGAGAGGATATAATAAGGAAGAGGAAGGAAAGATCGCGCGCGGTCGGAGGCTCATTTGTTGGGTACTGCTTCGGCATTTGTTTGGTGTGCGTGGCAGCCTAGGACCTCCCGGCCAGAGGCACTCCAGTGCCACCGGTTGAGGCCGAGAGCCGCCTCGGCTGGTTTCCTTCCCGGGCTGCATTTCCATCTCCCGTCGCTGCTGTACTTTACGCGTGGCTGCCTCACTGTGGCTGTTTCCCTACCATCGCGCTTGTCAGAGGCCACCAAACTTTTGAAGAAAATGCTCCATCAAATGTCGCGAGGCAAATACTGAACGAGAGAAACTTTTTGAAAAATCATACGTCGTTTTCTTTTTAAATGTTTAGAAGACAACTTGTAATGCTTGGCCTGAAAAATTACAGCAGGTCTATTATAAATTCTGAAAAATGATGTGAAAACTCAAACTTATTCAGATGTATTGGATCTTTCTCGCAAGTGGTTGTGTCATATTATAATCGCTTGGTATCTCTACTTTTTTCGAATGAAAAGACAGACTATTTATGTTCTTAAACATACGCTTCTCATGTCGAACTAAAACTAAAGATACCTTGATAAAATCAAGTAGTCATAGTATTTTTCAGTAATTTTTTTTTTTTTATTTCACTCTCGAGCAACCCTTTTCTATCCCTCATTGTGTCCTTCTGTCGAACCCATTCCGTTTCCTCTCCCTATCACGTTGCCTCTTCCATACCCCCTCTGCCCAGATCTGCATCGCCCCTATCATTCCCGATTCCCCTTGTGTCGCACTTCGCTGCTCACTCGCTCGCCCATGCAGCGCCCGCCTGCAAAGCGCGCGGAGTCAGCGGCTGCTGGCGGCCCGGCCGCGCCGCCTGCAGGCAAATAGGGACACGAGTTGCTGCGAGGTATTGAACAGGCGAAGTAGCCGGAAGTTGGGGCGAGTCACGACACGGGTACAAGTAACAAGAACGCGGGGGAGGTGAATAGACAGCTCGAGAATGTTTGAGAGAAGGGAAGCAGACACTTGTGACGCCACACTGGCTCGCCTGTGTCTTAATAAGTCAGTACTGAGCTTTCATGCATATTCAAAGATACTTCATGTATGAGACCAACCCGAAAGAAATAAAATTGCGTTTATTTTGAAATTAAGATTCGGTTTTAGTCACATACCCCTGTCACAATATAATTACGCATAGTAGAGAATAGGTTGTTTAGTACATGTAACAGTGATATAAAAGTTGATTTATTTTGACATACTACAAATATTTCAATAATGTATCTCTCCAAATTCGTTTATTCAAAAATTATAAATGCTTGTAGGAAACATTTCAAGAAAAGGGTAACATGGAAGAAATGTAGAATGATGTGCGCTCTGGCGTGGGGAGGGAGAAGGACTTGAAGAGAAAAATTGACGTGGAAGAATTTTTTTTCAAAGGAATAAATAAAAAGAAAGTAGGAGATAGCGACATGATTTCGAATGAGTTCTCGGATATTTCTAACCAAGACGAGGTAAAACGTATTGAAATCTTATTTACTCTGATTTTTCAGCAGGGAGTAACACCAGAGGAATGGAAAGACAGTGTAATTATATCAGTTTACAAGAAAGGGAACAGGAACAAGGTAGAAAATTGCAAGGACGCTCATGGCCCCTTGTACAAAATGTGGATGAGAATTATCAGACAGACTGCAGAGAGATGTAAGGAAGAAGAGCCAAATACCATGCAATCAAATAGAATTCAGTTATGGATAACATTTAACACATTAAACTATGTTATAGGAAAGAGAAAAGTATGTAAGTGAAGCCTATGGGTTGCAGACGTGATTAGAAGTCGGTCTTCAACAACGTGAACAGGGTAATGCTGTGGAACATTATATTGATACTAGAAATACGACGATTAAAATGGTTGTCTTCGGACTCTTCTTCTGAACCGAACCAAGCCTCTTTTCACTGGCATACAATGGATCGTGAAGGCCATTGCTGCTGTTACTAATGAAGTAATCGAGAGGCCTAAATACTTGAATGCAAACCCTCCAAGCGGAAAAGTTCTGCGTTTGTGATGCCCAATCTCCGTATAGATTTGCATGCAGCAGACAATCTAGAAATTGTCGGTAACCAGTGAGTCAGCGGCCACTAGCGGAACTTTTAGCTACAACACGAAGCAGGCGGCTTTCATGCACAGGGAGAAGTATGTGTGGTTTGAATCACTACATAAAACTGAAATGATTTTTCAAAAACACGGGATTTATTAATCCTCATAAACACCGTAACAACGAACATGAAAAACATTTGGCAAATAAAATTGAACACGCAAATGTGATTGCAATTTTATCTTATTTTACCCCGCCCCAGTCCGCATGCTTAATAACTTTTGTCAATTTCTGCGTAGAGGCCCCAGAATTTATCTTACAACCAGCCTAAGAGATTCCACTTGAAAATATCTTATTAAAACAAGAGCACGCAAGATTTTAAAGCCATTAATGGTTCTCAAATAGAACACCACAGTATACACAACTTGGACACAACATTAAATAAAACAATATTCCTCATTAACATTTCAATAACCAGTACTCTTCTTCAAAAGATATCCTTATTCTAGTATTTACAAAATCATTCCTTTTAGCTATACATGACCATCTATATCATCTTTCTCTTCTGATATTAGTATGAATAGCCTGCGCGTCAAATATGGAGGTCTAATTCCGGTGACACTATTATACCATACCGCACACTTCTGCATCGGACTCTGCCTTCGTTAAGACATGAAAAGGAAACCCACTAAGAAAATGCGAAACTCACCGTGCTGCGTTCGGCGCGCGCCCCGCTTCCGCGAAGGTCACCTCCGCCCTTGGCCGCTCGCCTCCCCTTGCGCGAAGCTCAAGGTCGCTGGGCTGATGTTAGCGGTCCGACGCCGCACGAGGGCGCTGGGACGTCGGGCGCAGTTTGCCTCCTCCACACCTCCAAAATCTCCTTCTTCTTCTTCTTCTTCTTCTTCTTCTTCTTCTTCTTCTTCTTCTTCTTCTTCTTCTTCTTCTCCCAGCAACTGCTGTTCAAACGGTCTCTTAGGCCATCGTTTCTCCCATGCCCCCTCAAGAATTTGACTTTCGTGGTATCACTCGCGCAACTTTTCTTGAACGATGACCTTGCTTCCCCTTCTCTGACACAATAAGCAGATGAAGGCAAAAGCTCGCAGCGAGCACTGATCACAACATTCCAAATACAATTCCACTAGCGTGAAATAGAAAAAAAATATTTTGAAGACAAGAACTTCTATCCGTTATTATCGCCAAAAATCTAAAGAAATTACCTAAGCAGGTAATCATCTGTCTCAAGATATAACTGGAACTGTTAAGAAAGTTAGAAAGCAAATTATTGAGATAGTTGCGAAGGTATGACATTCTTAAGAGACTGGCATTGCGCCATAAAATCTAGTGACCGATTTCGTAACTAATACCCCCACTCTACCCGCATTTCTTCAATCCATCGTTCAAGAAATGTTGCGCGAGTTCAAGAAACAGTTTCCAGCGGAGTCATCACACGTTCCACAAAACGTTCTTTTAAACAAAAAGCCGCCGGCAATTACCCCTCAGCACCGGATTCAAATGTTCCAACACGTGCTGCCTTATCCGCATACTACAATGCTATCTCAATATGGACTTGCGCTGATTCTAAAAGAAATTTCCAAACGTTCGGCTAACGCCTTTTCACTATCTCATGCATAGCACTTTTCAAAACTGTTCTCTTTTTTATGCTTAGCCATTACTGCGATATGCACAGATCAGGAAACTCGTCTCACAATGTAAAATCGTACCTGGGGAATACGGAGCACTTCTCCAATTGGACCGTCCGCTGCGGCTGCTAGCCCGAGAAACAAGAGGCAGTCGACCCCGCCAGCCTGCTCACTTTCCCCGCTTACCCCTCTCACGCGGGGGGAGGGGAGACCCCCCTCCGGGGTGGACAAGTCGCCGCCTTCTCGCGAATGCAATGGAACGCGCCCTGTGATGCGGCAAATCATTTTGAAACTTCCATTCTTCACACTTCCCACCCATTCCCTTCCATTCTTCACCACTCCCTACGGGCACGCTACTTACTACCGAATGTGTTGGGTCTCAATATACAGAGTCAGTCACGTAGCTGTAGTACCTCGTGCAGTTTCTGAACGGTTGAAGTTATTTCAATGCAATTTTCACGGAAATGCATGAGGGAATGGGACTAATTGATACATGTCTTCATTTCTAATTTATCACTTGTACTTTACAAAATATTTAGGTAACTTTGTTTTTAAAATTGAACTATAACACATATCTTTTTGTCTATCATGACAAGCGTAAAAAGACAAATCCGATGATATACATATTGTCATATCATAGGTAGACATTACTTTCATTAATTTGATTTTTTTGCGACTCTGTTTAAGAGATATTTTTAATGTAACAGTCCACCACTCAAGGCCACGCAGCGCTCCCCCTGCTAGCGCGGTGAAGCTGATGGAAATATTTGAAGATACGAATCGTACTTCAAATCTTCACAAAACTGTTTAAATACTTTCCTGAAGCATTTTTCGATTGCTTGTTTCTCTTTGATTGAAGGAAGTGAATGACTGAAAATGTGTACTAGTCGCGAGTATGAATTGAGATATAATATTTACTTCAACTCCGTTTAAGGGGGTTTCTTACCACCGAATATTAATGGTATCTTCAAACAAAACACAATAAAAATAAATAATTAATATTTTACAAATCTTAAATATTGCATTTAGATGCAAAGCATGTAGTTTTAAATGTGACTTTGTAATACTAATATTGAAGGCAGATCAAATTTGATTCAAAAACGCTTGTTTTTTGAAGTAATCCCAGTATTTTAAACGAAAACGACTTTCGAATTTCCAATGTTTATATAATGTTTCTACGAAAGAATTTATAGAATGCATCAAAGCATTTTTAATTAAAAAGTGATCTTAATGGTAATAAAAATTCACAAATAAAAATGACTAAGATGTAATAAAAATATAAAAGTCACATTTAAATAATAAGAGTCAACTTAAATTATTATCATATAAATAGAAGTGACATTAATTTTCATTAAGAAAACTTGAAAATATTGAAATTATGAATTAATTAAAATTTCACAAATTACTTTCGCAAGGTTGCTGTCTTAACATTACTTCAACAATCCATCAGCCACATCAACGGTACACCACACATTAAAACATTTCACATCGTTCACAGAGATTCAAGACCTACGTGATGTCTAAGAAACGTTCACATAAACCAGCAGAGACATTGTTTGTGGAAAACAAAACCCGTATAATAATTTAGTTTATATGAAACAAAAGTCGAATTAATTTTCCCAGCACCCTCCATATCGGAGTAACTAAACAGAATACTAAATGAATCGGGGATCGGACTGCGACAGCCCGGAACGCCGATGCAGCAGGCGAATCGTGACTGCCAGGACGCGCAGGAGGGGGGGGGGGTGGGGCGAGCGTGGTCAAAGCCCCGCATTCCTGCGCCATTCGCTTCCGGCGCTTTTGCGCTGCGAGCTGCGCCGCATTTCAAAGCGACGTGACGGTTAACGAAAGATTATTTGCCGCACTTTATAAATTGCTTGTTGCAGACGGCGGCGGGGACCGCCAGGGTGGGGGAGCCCGAGCGGTAGTCGGGTCCGGCGGTGGCGGGGGAGGAGATGTGAAGAGACAGCGCCCAAGGTGGTGGCGGACGAGGGTGAGGGCGGTGGGGCGGAGGGAGGGAAGCCGGGAGGGTGGCGGAGTTGGCGCGTGCCGGACTGGCGCGGCGCGGCGCGGCGTGGCGTTTTTCGGCGGGCGGGGGTACTCAATTACAGAATAGCGGCCACCGTTATTGCCACTTCAATTTGCGTTAATCTCCGCCGGGGGCGCGCCACCGGCAGTCGATAGCGCGGCGGCTGGAACGACGACTCGGGCTGCTGCAGGGCGCCGGCGGTGGCGGCGACGGTGAGAGCGGACTCGATTCCACTCTAGAGATAGTTGAACACAGAGTAACTGACAGAAACAAGGAAGATGGGGTAAGTCAGAGAGAATTATGGAGGAATGGGGATTGGGGGGAATTTGAAAATAAGTGGAGGCAATCGGAAAAGTAGTAGATCAACCAACGAAACGAGAGAACTAGAAAACAATTGTCAAGGGAGATGGGCTGACGCTAAGACGTTAACTATGTCTTGAATACTAGTATTAAGACAATAAAGCTATGGTCACGAAGAGTCTGAGTTGTACACTGCGTTTAAACAGACGTAATCGAGTGACAACAGTCATTAATGAAATCTAAAAAGTTAGTAGTCGAAACAAAGAGTAACAATGACTACAAACACAAAATTCAATGACGGAATAGTATCAATGTCAACGAAGCTGAAAGTATAAGTGGTTCTTGAGAAGTGATTACTGCACTAAACACTGTCTTCAGTCTCAAAAGTGTCGGCAGTGGAAACTGCGAGGACGCTCAAATGCCGGGGGGCGGGGGGTCAGTAGATCGTGGGTCGTCGCTTCATTGATCGAAGCAGCCACAAAAACTAAATTCCAACACCTGTCGAAAAGTCGTGATCTGTCTTCGGGCCCTATCGCTGCCCTAGAGCTGGCTCGAGCTCCATTGGTTGGGGGGGGGGGGTGCTGGGCTCAGATATGAACTTGCTCTAGGAAAGACCCACCCACCTGCCTTCGCGCAAAGCAGTCAAAAAGAACAGTTCTAGATTGGTAGACGTCAGGACGATTACTTTTCCACTGTTTTCCTCGTTGGAATTTAAAATGCGAGTGCGAAGAGGTACGAGTCACAGTGCCGGAGAAAAACTCCCTTTATAAAATATTTCCATCTTTTTATACAATTCTTCTGGCATACCGCTTTGTCTTATTATGCGGTATGCTTCTCTCAGGAATGACGTGATTCCAATTAAGTCAATACAACTTTTAAGTTTTATCTCACGACTTTCCTCTCCCTACGTTAAAATTCAATAAGCAAAGATCTATATTAAAAATTGAATGATAGCAAATTTTATAATATTTCCGACATTAATGAGTACCTATCTCGGTAAAGGCAATTAAAGGGCATTCATTTTCTAAATTAATTTTACATTGAATAACCGACTTGATAAAAAAGCATTTTGACTATGACCATAAATATTATCATCATCATTCTGCATTTAACTACAAGAATAAATTTTCTAGTCTGAAAGATTGCTTTCTAAATTGTAATTCAATTTTACATGCAATGTAAAATTAAACTAGCAGCTTCAAAATGTGTTATTTATTATTCCCCTTCGGCATACACACAGAAGAGGTCAATGGCAGTTAGAAAATTTTCAAAGGGGATCAGTATACTTACGTAATACAATATTTTATTTTCTTAACAAGTAGTACAATCCCTCATTTTCCTTTCTTTAACCTTAAATCTGGGAAACTGTTATATAGCTTTAGAGAAAGATATTATTCAGTCCATCTTTCTACTTTCAATAATGTCTCTTGACTGAATTAGATAGTACTTGTATTATATTATCTGTGATATATTTTTTTATTTTAGAAAACTATTACCCACTAAGATAAACTTTTTTGTGATGCTATTTGGTGAGATCAAAGAGTCTTTAATTCTTTATGATGCCTGCAGTCGAAGTTTTTAAGGAATATTCTGTCTATTGAATTTCGGTTAAGAAAAAAGGTGGTATCCGTCGAAGATACTCTGAGAAGGGGTAAACGTGCAGTAGAGATACAGTCATACGAGTAGTTGCATCTAAACTCTGTTCTGTTTTAATTAATAATTTCAGGCGGGCTCATTGCGTTGGTTCGTGCGTTATTTCATGTGATGCAATGAGATACCCTCTTAAAGCCCAGTAACAATAATAATGTAATACGCACAAAGCCTAGCTTCCGTGACCGGATGTCACACTGGGACACAAAGTCCGTTCTGGCGTACCAACGGATGGTTTGCCTCGATCGCAGGAGCGATCTCATCCGATTGAGAATCGGCGTGAATCGTGGTACTCAACCACTCCTCACCTCGGAGCACGCACACAGCATCGCTCCCCCGTGACCGCAGTCACCCAAGGACACAAAGTCCTCCGCAGGCTTCGTCAACTCGTGACTTGCCTCGTAAGCCCTGCTCGCCGCTGCACCGTCGTGGCGCCAAGTTTTGTGCACATGCACGAGGTTCTCCCACTGTCTCCAGAACCCCCCGGAGTGTACAGAGCCAGTGGGGGGGCACTGGCTCTGTACACTCCGTTATATAGACGAGGCTCACGTGACCTACTACGTCACGCCAACCCCACCGCTGTTATAACAATTAAAGGTTTCTAAAGACCGGAAGACCCCAAAGCCGTGTGTCTCCCGCTTCCGCGTTCTTGCTTTACGAAAAAACCCTTCTCTCCTTCCTGTGGCGAGGAGTTTCCTCTTACTAATCCTCTACCAAGCGTCCCCAAATAGATGCCACGGGGCACGCTGGCTAATACGTTACAGTATCCAATGGAGGGAGTTATGAAAGAGAATTACGGTAGGTAAATATCAACAGACAAACCGAGTCGAGTTAACAACTAGTTAGTTAGTAAGTAAGTAATTCTTTATCAATCAAAGTACGTCAAATATAAAATCATGGCCAGTATGTTTCAACTTCAGACTGTAAATTTGAAAGAAATGCTTAGATTTGTTATCTTTGTTGAAGCTCGATATTGCATTTTCAAACTCTTCTCAAAGAACGCTCAATGCCTTTTGTGAGCCATTTGCCTTGTTTCGCCCGTGTTCCTGAGCGCGCCACGAGGGGCGTGAGCGACGCGCCCATGGACGCCCATGGGCGCCCGTGGGCGCTGGGGGCGCTGGGGGCGCGAGTGACTGGGCCCGGTCGAACCCCGGCCGCCGAGCGAGGTCGCCACTCACGTATTTATAGAAATTCTATAAACACCGAAAGGGCCGTAAAGAAGCCGCGCTTCCCGTTGCATGTCTGCGGCGCTGATTTACGAGCACCGCCGCCAGGGCGCCGCCGACGGACCCGTTCGCTCGCTGCC